GGTTTTCGAGATATCTAGCATGACGGGTTTTTTTTCCAATATTCGTCTCTCAGAATATTTGAAATTATAAAGTGGTGCCAAGTCCACAGATTGAGGATTGTAGAATAAATTGAATATTTGAAATGATTCTTTAATCCAGTTTGCTATATTTTTTGATTTTCATAACTGTATATTATTAAATAATGATCTTTCGACTTTGTGTTCTGAATTTAGGCATAGAACTTATTTCCAAACATGATTTTTCGTGTACATTCTATTCCACGTGGAAAATTTTTCATTAATTGAAATTAACGGGTTCATATGCACATCCATAATTGAATTGATAATTATAGGCTTCGTAAATTTTACGATTTGGCAATGTTGATTATTTCTACTGTTCCTATTGGTCAATCGAACAAGAAGCGGGAATAGGGCGATGAGGTCACCGCCCTACCACATTCGACTTTTAATAATTAATTACGGAAGAACTACGGTTCTTAGAGAACTGAAACAAAGTGCACTGTTTTTCAATTTGAAATTTCTATCAAGTGAACTATACACCAAAAATCATGAAACAAGTCCATTGGGTGGGGGGGAAAATGACTTCCGAAATATTTGCTTAGACTTCGAGTTTTCTCTGAATTTAAATCCGGCCGTAAACGACTATATTCTTCCAGTATGTACTATGTTACAAAATTGTTCAAATTGTTCATGGTTTGCAATTTGACAACGGCCAACTCAATTATATACTGCATTAACTGAATTTTGAATCATTGCAGAAGTCATGGCATTGTCTGGACAGTCGACAACGTTTTTTAGATGACCCACAGAAAGACACTAATATGAGTCAAATCTGGAGATCTTGGTGGCCACTCAATTGATCCACGTCTTTCCACGTCTATCTTCCATTGAAGGTGTCCAAATAACTTTTTATTTGCAGATCATAATGATATAAAAATTATCAACGATTTCAATGTTGGGCATTGTTTGGATCTGGAAATTTATGAATTGAGTTCGCGGAAGATGAAAATATCATTCAGCTGTCCAACTTATATGAAAACGGTCCTATCGATCTGCTGTTCACTATGCCAGCCCCAAGATAATTTTTCTGTGGATTATGGGTGGTATTTTTTATCCAGTAATGATTTTCATAATAGTTGAAAATTTATTTGTGGTGTCCTGATTCAAGTACGCTATAAGATGCAGAAAAATGTCCGCTATCTAATGGTGCAAAAATAATTATAGTTTACTTTTTGGGAAAACTCCGATGATATCGTCAATTTTACAAGTCACATTTTATAAGGCATCAGAAATGTAGAAAATGAATCGCTTGACATGTTTACATGTTTTGGCGTTTTTTGTGAGAGTTGAAATGATACGTTTCATGAATTTCAAAAATAGTTATCAAACTATTTATTTCATGAAAAAAAAAACAATGATGAATAGGTATCGCTGAACCCACTGAGTTTAACAAAAACCTCCGAGATTTCCTAAACTAGATTAATTAGGGCAAAACTATAATATTTTTGTTTTTGTTCTTATATTATAATGATGGCGGTCAAGAGTTCAGATCAACAGGCGGCCTTCTATCCCATCGTATGTCACCCATATTTGGAATAACGCAATCGAGAAACATGGAGAATCAAGAGCTGTTGAGCTTGATATTTCTGAAGCCTTTGACCGTGTGAGGGGTTGCTAGCCAAACTTCGATGCTACGGCTTGTCGGATAATTTCTATGTATGGCTCTTCAGCTTCCTGAAAGAACGTTCCCTGGAAATGGCTGTCGATGGATATATCTAGAACACTTTCACCATCAACGCTGGTGTTTCCCAAGGATCAATATTGTCTCCAACCCTCTTCTTATTGTACATCAATGACTTATTTGAAAAAAACAAGAATCCAATATATTGCTTTGCTGACGACAGCATATTTGTCTCTCCATTCCATTTGGATTCCAGGATATCGAATACGGAGGCACATCTCACCGGCAGCAGGAGGTTGCATATTTTAGTGAGGATCTAGAAGTGATTTCCAATTGGGGTGAAAGTAACCAAGTTCAATTCAGTCTCACAAAAACTCAGTCATCGGTTTTCTCCAAGAAGATAAATGTCTCCGTACCGGATTTAATAATCTCAGGTCAGACAATTCAGATTTCTGCTTAGATAAGTTTGTTGGGAGTTGAAATGGACACCATCAGGCACAATCAGGTCACTGGGATTGCAAAAGCTGCTTCTCAAAAGCTATGAACACTGTTCCGAACCAGAAAACACCTCAGCAATTTATGATGCTGCATAAAGCTCAGATGAGTTGAGAACAATACTCCAAAGACCTTCTTTGGAGTATTGTTCTCATGTATGGAGGTCTGCCCCCAAACATACCCTGAAGTTGCTGGATTCCATCCAGAAAAAAGCCATTCGCTTTATTCGAGACGCGAGCATCACGTGCAACCTTGATAGCCTGAAACATCGAAGAAAGGTTGGAGATTTGTCTCTCTCCTAAAGATACTTTCACGGAAGGTGTTCAAGTGACTTGGCACATTTGATCCCACCAAGAGCGGTACATATCAGAAATACGCGACAGACTGTAGCTGCTCATTGGTTTGAGGTTCAAATCAGTGCACCTCGAACTTCACTGTTTAGGAACTCTTTCATCTGGAAAACTGCGTTTATGTGGAATAAACTTCCTGAGAACGTTTCTCCGAATGGATTCAATCTCCAGCGATTCAAATCCAATTTGAATCGGTACTTTCGCACAGGTACCGCTCTGAGAGCGCCTTAAGGATTTTTCTGTAGTGCTTGTATTTTGTTCTTGAAAAAAAGATAATCCAATTGAGAGAAACCAAGTCAAGCCCACTAATAATAATATAAAACTAGACTAAAACACCAGCATCGTAGTTATTGCGGTCGAAACGTCGGAAACAAAAACACGAGCTCCAACTCGGGTACTACGACCGTGACCACATCGCCTTTGATAATGTCTACCGCAGTGATAGATGAAACTTGAAGGCATAAAAACCTGCAGACTTTGGCTAAAAATTCCGGAAAATAGATTTCACACAGTTTTTCATTGAGTCGTTAGAAAGAATCGTCCAAATACCGGAGAAAACAGCTTTTATATTTTCCTCAAAAACTGATATGATCTTTACATTAATAGACTCAATATGTTGAAAATATTCTTGGCTGATATCTGTTTTTGGGAGAAACTAACCCGGTAAATAGATACCCAATGTTGTCAAAAACCTATTATGATCGTTTTATGTGAAATTTCGAATTTTCTATTCATATTCCGTGCACCTGGTCGAATGAGAACGTGATAATGGCTATCGGAATCAATTAAATAAATAGTCTGTGACGATACTGGGGTAAAAGCAAAACTACCAAGTAGAAGTCAAATAAATCAGTGTGTATTTACATAGAATTTTTACCGCTTCCTATATCACTTACAATGCAAGGAAAAATATTTTTAGTAATTATACAATTGTTTTTCTCACGTATCGCTTTCACTGAGATATTTGTAGAAAGCAGATACATAAGCAGAAGCTCTTATTGACGTCTCGTAATAAATACTACTGCGGCACCTCAGGAAACCGGAGGCACAATGTCAACCATTTGTTTTATATGGATGATCTTAAACTTCATGCCTCTGGAGAGAAGGATCTCCATTAGTCTTCGAGGGTGGTGGAAGAGTACACGCATTCTATCGGTATGAAATTCGGGATAGACAAATGTGCAATGGAGGAGAGGATGAGCAGTTCGTAGATGGAAGCATCCTACACCATTTGAATGCCGAAGAGACGTATACTTACCTCGGGGTGGAACAACGTCACTCACAAGCAAGTATCAGCACAAACTTTGACAGATCTAGTCATTGGAACTGTCGGGGAAGAACAAAGTTGCTGCAACAAATATGCTTGCCGTTCCAATCTTACTCTACTCGTTTGGAGTAGTGAAGTGGACTCGGGAGGAGATGTATCAACTCGACGTAAAGACCCGAAAAATGATGCATCAGGGCCGTCCGTTCGACGGTTATACTTCCCCCGACAACAGGGAGGCCGTGGACTTTTGAGTTTGGAGTGTCTACATGACAGAATGGTACTGGATATAGCTTGTAAAGTCGTCAGAAGTTCGGATCCCCTTCTCTGCATAGTCCGTGATCATGATAGAGCAAGAATTGGAAAATTTCTCTTTAGGGCAGCTGCCCGAGCAGCTGATGAACTCGGTTTAGTTTTCGACACTGAACGAATTGACAATAACTCTGTCACCGAGTTGGAACCCGTTTAGCAAAAAGCTTCTTCAATAACATTAGAGACCTTGGCTCATCAAAGCACCTGACTTTTGCTTTCCTCAGGTCGAGTGGGCTGAAGTTGGAAACTGAGGGGTTCATCATGGCCTGCCAGGATGGTGTCTTCAACACCTTAGTCCACCGCAGTCGCGTGATGGCTATAGAAATTCCTGACGCAAACTGCAGAGCCTGCCGCGAGGCGCCCGAGACCCTATAATGCACTTTCTGTCAGTATGTCCAGCATATGCGGTCTCGGCCTATATCCATCGACATAACGCGGCCCTAAGAGTGCTATATAACCATCTACGGCACTCTTACGGTATTGACGAGGCACCGGTGTTGCCCTACGCTCCGGGGGGATATTGAATCCGTTGTGGGGAACGCCAAATTTGAGAAGTGCCAAATTTATTGGAACTATTCGTTTCCCACCCTCAGGCCCATACAAGCTAATAAGCCTGATGTAGTCCTTCTCGATCTCCAGAGCAAGGCAATATTTGTCATGGAGTTTTCAGCTGCTGGCGAGACGAATATCGTCCGAAAAGAGGAGGAAAAACGGATAAAATTTCTCTTTGAACTCCGTAGACTCTATCCATACCACTCTATCAAGATGGTTGCTCTGATTATTGAAGTCTGGTGGAAGAATGCCCTCTCTACACCCGAATCTTGAAATCATACTGGCTTACCGCACTAAGGCAGAAATCTCAGCGGGACAGATGCAGAAGGCTGTCAATCTTGGCTCACTGCGCTTGCTCAGGGCACATGATTCTCGGACCCAATGATCACTTACCCTACGGTGTGGGGAGTGGTCACGCGCCCTCCCGAATGTATCGAGGCTTCGGAGATAGGGCCTGACCAGCGCTAACTACGGTAAAACAATAAGAATAATAACTTTATTGTACATAAATTACTCACAAATCAAAGTTAAACAAAATATCCTCAAATTCACTGATATCAGGGATAGTTGCATGTATTCATATTAATATCACCCATTAACAAAATAAAGTCCACTTCTAAATAAATTCTCCCCAGCATTTCACCCAATTCTCCCATACAATTGACATATAGTAACGATCGTTTTTCTAAGAGATAATGTTACTGTCCAAATAAAAGTATAAAGAAGTAAAAATGAAAGTTCAATTTGAAAGTATATTTTGTATGAACAATTATTCCAATAAATTTCCCAAAACCCCTTTCCTAACAATAAAAAATTGTGTATCATGAATACATAACTGATTGTCTTCTCTCACCAAAATTCATTTAGTCTCTAATTGTTTACATGACCTCTGCATTGACATTTATAAAAGTCATGGTTCCGGCTTACCGATGCACATCACGTATACCCGAGGAAATAATGAAGATGATGTCATACTTTTGCAAATTGTTATTTTATTAATTCATTTTCATGTTTGTGAAATGTGAAGATACGATCATAACTGTAGAGGTATTCGTACATCCATTTCATATTAGGTGCAAATTCATGATTTCTTCTACAATTTCCTCCTCAGATAGATTAACCAGATCATTTTGAATAATAATGGAAGATCACAATTGTTTTTTCCCAGATGTAAGTTAATGAGAAATTAGGATGTAAAATTCTTCAATGTGATTTGATATGTAATGAGTGATTTTTTTGCTGGTATCTTTTTGGCAACACTGTTTTTGACAGATCACACGTGAATCGTGTCTTGTGTCATTGTCAAACTTGTTCAGTTTGGTCTATAATATAACCATGAATTGACTTACGAATGAACAACGCTTGCAAATTATTGAATTTCATTTTCAAAATTCATGCTCGGTGAAGAAAGTGCATCGTGCACTTCTTTCAATTCATGGGCAGTTTCGTCGGCCTACTGAGGGAGCTATTCGGAAGCTTATGACTAAATTTCGAACCCAGTTTACATTATTGGACATTAAACCACCAACACGCATACGTAGAGGGAGGACTGAAGAAAATATTGCGGCTGTTATGCCTGACTTGTGATTTCAACAAGACGGTGCCACATGACACACGGCACGCGAAACAATTGCCTTCAGTTAACAGTTTATCTCACGTTTGGGGCCTGTCAATTGGCCGCCTATATCGTGTGATTCAACGCCTTTGGATTATTTCTTGTGTCTACAGAGGTAAACCAGCAACGACTGATGCTCTGAAAGCCAATATTTATACGTGAAATACCGGTCGATATGTTAGAGACAGTGTGCCAAAATTGGACCCTGCGCATGGGCCATGTAAAGCGGAGCCGCGGACAACATTTGCATGAAATCATCTTCAAACATTGAATTATATTGATCGTTCTATCGATTATAATGAAGATTTCATCAATTTTTCAAATTTTTTGTGTTGTTTTGAAAATCAAATCCGATATCTCTTAAAAAATCACCTATTACAAAGAATCTGGTGTGAAATATTCAAAAATATCTAAGTTTCCAAATAAAAATAAATGAATTGGATGAAATAAATCATTAACTGTTGAAAACAAAAACAAACAAAACTGAAGCATAACAGATCGTCATCAAAACATTCTGTATATTGCAATAAGTACATCAAAAATAGGACGTGTTCATTTCAAGTGTGCTTTATTTACTACATTATAATAAATTATTCTAACTCGCTTTTATTTTCTCATGCACATCTGGTGAAACGATGCAGCAGATGTCGTGGATGAAATAATTTTCTAAGGGACATGAAAAAAGAATTTGGAACTACATTTTTCACGGATCTATATTACGAAAAAATATGTGCTGCAAACGTCTATTAGAAGAAAAATAATTGAAATTAACAATATTTCTCAACTAGAAACGGATGAAATGCATTGTACTTTTAGAAATGGATAATTATTTTTCATGATTTGTAGCGATACTATATCTTTCTGATTTGATTTTTATAATGAAATGCAGTTGTGNTTCATGATTTGCAGCGATACTATATCTTTCTGATTTAAAGGTAATTCACAACTCCACGGAAAGCAGCTATTTTCTATATGGATCTTTTTGATAAATTTTTTGTATTATTATTTTGAGGTACAAAAATCATCTATTTCTTTCGAAATTTGAAAGAAACTCATCGTTTTGTTTGAACTGAAAGAGTTTATTTTGAGAAAAGATGTTGGGAACACAAACTGAATAGAAAAAAATGTTTTTTGTATAATTCAATGTTCATATAAAAGCAGTTGTTCCGGAAGTACATTGCTATAGTACTTTTTCGTATAATTCAAAGTTTCCCGCAGCTGAAAAAGTATAAAGCCAAAACATTTATCTTTTTTATACTAAAATTGTTGGGAATATGAATAAAATTTAAATTGAGTTTCCTAAACACTGTTACGCCACTGTGTAATTGTCTATGTTTGGTGGTCAAGGGATACCTAGGGTCGGGAACCAATAACGTGGGTCTGTTTCCTTTACCTCTCGCTGAAAGAGTACCTTCGTTCATTCAGTATGGTATTAGCATAATGGAAGAAAGGTCTATTATAGTATAAGAATTTTCAATTGAAGGTAACTCATATACAAATTGAACTGAGAGCTAACGACAACAATGTTAAATGTTAGAACTAAATTCTTACNTAAGATCTGGCAAGATACTACTGTAACTAGTTATCGTCAAGCATTTGTGGACGGTTTATCAACAGGGTTACGCGGACCAACGGGTAAAGGGCAACGACTAATTGTCGCCCATATAGGTAGCGGGAGTAGTTTTTTAGAATAGTTAGAGCACTATTTTTTTTATCAAAAAAAAAACAGGGGATTATCACGAAGACATGGACGTCCAACGCTTTGATGGATGGTTTGAATCCCTTATTTCACGAGTCGAGTCAAATTCGGTAATAGTAATGGATAACGCTTCTTATCACAGCCGATTAGTAGAACAGCTGCCAACGTGGAGATTGGACGGGAAGGTAGACATTGTTTTCGACCAAATAATAATAGATTTAAGTGTGACTGGGGATTCCTCTTCGGACGAGTCAATGGATTCTGAAACTTCATAAGCATAACATAGGTAATTATTTATTTGCTTTGTAGTTCTCTTTCTATATAAAAGGAACATAATGCTTATTTTGTAATTTTTTTTGTTTTTTTGAAGTACTGTATTATGCATGGGCAACGACTAATTGTCGCCCAAATAGGTAGCGAGAGTAGCTTTTTAGATAATAGTGCACTAATTTTTTTATCAAAAAAAAACAGGGGATTATCACGAAGACATGGACGCCCAACGCTTTGATGGATGGTTTGAATCCCTTCTTTCACGAGTCGAGCCAAATTCGGTAATAGTAATGGATAACGCTTCTTATCACAGCCGATTAGTAGAACAGCTGCCAACTATGACCACCAGAAAAGCAGACATGCAGAGTTGGTTAGGACAAAAAGGCTGAAACTTCATAAGCATAACATAGGTTAGGTTAGGTTAGGTTAGGTTAGGTGATAGTGTTTCTCACATCAAATTAAACAGATCAAACCGATTCTCGTATTCGACATTCTGTGAAATCTGTAAACTAGGTGTGACAGAATGAAGAGTGTTACCTATTTACCTACGTCACATTATTTAATAGTATACAGTCCACTAGAAAGGGGCCAGCAAGCCCAAAAACCAAAATTGGGACCTACCAATAATAATAATTTATTCAGCATCATTTTTTTTATCAAAACATCTTCCAGATTAGATACCTTGAAGAAGTTAAAAGAATGTTAATTAGTCAATCGCATTTTTTGACGAATTTTTCCATCGTAACTTAACTTTTCTCTCACACCATCGAAAAGTGAATACTTTGACGAAAGAATAGCATTGTTCATTCAGAAAAATACCGTTTTCAGAACATCGGTATTTTTGGTAAGAAAAATGAGGTATTTTATAATATTACCAACAAAATAAAATATTTAAATGAAAATATAACTTAGAATATTAGGATATAGAAAGTTTTTTTTTTCTTTTGAATCTCTTTTTGTATCAAAAATTTTCCAGTAGAAGCTCTAGTTGAAGTAGAAATTATGAAAAACCATTTTTCACTCATAAAATTTACCTCATTTCATCCCCACACCTTGGATCGATTTCAATTCATTTCTTTTGTTATGGGCACATTTACATTTATTGTTTTACACTGTTATTATTGTTTTCTCTTTTTTGCATTTCTAACAGGTTTCCTTACTGATTTATCTAGTGTTACTGAAAACAGATTTCATTAACTGAAGAAAAACCTTTTTCACTCATTTCTAACGAAAAAAATCCTCTCATTATATTTTCACTTTCTCACACATTTTAGGATTCAGTTGGAAATCATAAAGTTTACAGCGAAGTTCACCAACTTTGCAAAGCTTTCCTCAATCTGAAGAACAGATCCATGTACGGATGATTGGTTCCATTATATAGGTATCGATCTGCATAACGGATCCAATCATCATCCAAAACAGAAACAAACCGTCATCAACACCCTAGTGAAAAGAGCTTTGAGAATATGTGAAGAAAGGTAAGTCGACGGCGAAATAAAACACCTAACCACTGTGTTATAAGAGAACGGCTAAGACAGAAAAGACATAATCCGCGCTATGCGTCCAAAGGAGAAGAAAAACACCAGTGAAGATCAACCCCAAGTCACTGTCTATCTGCCATACATAGAAGGTGTCACCAAACGAATCGGGAAAATTCTAAAGAAGGAGAAAAATAATACCGTCTTCAAGACAACG